ATTTCACTACTAGCATGAACATTTGATTTTGGTGTGTTAATTTCATGATATACAAGAGAAATACACATAATGTTATGGTTGCAGGCAATTGGCCGAATTCAAAACCCAGAACACATGAATGGAACGTGTTAATTTTTTTGAGTGTAAGCAGACACAGCATCTAATATTTAGGGCCATCCGAGCTAACCGAAAATCCAGTACAACAAAAAGAGATAAACAGGCGTGGTAGTTTATGCTATTGGATGTAACCAGGCCAATAGCGATTTAGTGTGACTTTTAAACTAGTTAGTATAGATTTTTTGACGTAGAACTACGTCTTTGTCGACTATGGGTGCAAACCAAAAAATATGTGTGGTGAAATAGTGTTAGGTTTTGAACGCTTGTAACTTTGTCATTTATAGATAAAAATAAAATCCAAATACGCCAATCGATAGGATATTACATTACAAATCTGCTGAAACAAATATTTTATTCAATTTTTCACAAAAACATTTGTAAAATGTACAAATGGTAATTTTATCTCTGTTTTCATGAAATAAACGATTTTCCAGGTCATGTCTCTGCTCATTACCGCTTCGGACGGCGTGACACATGTTCCTGTAACAAGCAGGACCAAGACAGTGGCTAAAGGTATGCAGCGTGATCACCTTTCACAATTAGGAATGAGCCTTGGGTCCCGTTTCACGAAACCGAAACGCGGAAAAGTTATATGTGCCAAACCAGTTCATGAGTTGATGGATCGATATGTAGGTTCCAGGTGAGGGAGCTGCCCCCTGGCGTCGGTAGCACTAATCAAGGAAAAAAAAAGTGAACCATAACCGAAACATTGAAATAGTTGAAAAATTTAAGATAAAGTATAATAGTCAAAAATGCATGACATACATCAATTTTGCGTGGTTCTACGTCATACTGCGGTCGTGAATAGGACACAACCCTTTAATTTTTTTTTCTGAGTGAATGAATGAGAAAAAGTGGCTCACAACTGAGTAAAAGTGACTCACATTCTGAGCTAGTTTCGTTTTCAGTGTTGATTGGTTTGACAACGAAGTTGATTTGAAAGTGGTCTAAAATAATGTAGTCATTGGTTGTTGTCTTGGATGAGCAAAGATGGATATCTTACAGGGATAAAGCTATGATGGATAACTGTAGCGCACTTGTCTTTTATTGCCGCTAGAGGCGCTACCATTCAAGTTCAACGTTAAGGAGCTCTATAGCTTTTGCAATTGAGAGCTTCTATCAGATCTGATATTTCAACTTAATTAAAATGAAAAATACATAAATTGATGGAAATAACCCTTAAATATTATCCATCAAAGTCTACACTAATCACTCGTGAAAAACTGACTGCTCTTTTTTACCACAAGCGTGCACTGGAATTTTGTTAAGGAGCGGCATTTTTTTCTATGGTGCATTTAATCTGGGGATGGAGAGTACTCCAAAGTGCGTTAAAGATGGTGCTGTCCACCCACCACTGTTTCCCTGCGGTTTAGTTTAGCTAATTTTATTTATGTTTTGCTCCGGTGGTAGTTCATCATCTTCGATACAAACTGCTTTCAGAGAGCCAATAGAAATTGGAAATTTAATCCCATCGACGAAGTAGACGATGAATCGCCCCAAAGTACCGCCAGTCGGGGTGACAGAAAATCATGCCGAACATTCAACATGTTTTAAAGATGATATAAAGGACAAACCCGAATTTATTGCAACGCACATAAACAGCTGTAACTTTTTAACCACGATAACAAATGACTTGAAATTTTCAGAGAAGATTCTTAGACGATTTTTAGTAAGACAACAATAGACCAAGGTTCAATGGCAAACTAATACCCACTTTTCATTATCCAGGGAATCCAAAAGCTGTCTTTAAACTTTGTACAGTTGCGAAAAAGTCCATCTTCAGATGTTTATTGATGTATCGTTTTAGTTTAGGACTTAATTGGAATTATCTGTATGAAGTTGGATTTATTTTAGTACAACGCACGATTTTAAACTTTTTACATAGTCGATGAACTTTAGTAAAATTAGTGGAATATGAATGATCTTTATTATGACTTAAAATGAGCGAAGTTTCTAAAAGTTTAGTTCATTATATTTCTAGATATTAAGGTTTTTCAATGAAAAGATGTTTTATTTTCAAAAAGCTCTTTATAAACGCATTCAAATAAACCCAATGCTGTACCAATAATTATGGATAGAGCTGGAATTAGGGCGTAACAGCCTTTGTAAACAATGCCTTCTCTCGTTGATTTCTAGGAATTCAATGCACGCCTACACAAACCATCATATCCATCGAGTAGGGGAAGTCATCCCCTACTCGATGGTGATGTCGATTTGCCAGGCAGAGCCATGACTTTCGCGAAATCATCGAGAGAAGTCATTGTTTACAAAGGCTGTTACGCCCTAATTCCAGCTCTATCTAGAACTGATAAATTTATGATGGTTCAGCAGCCATTAGTTTAGAAACGTATCTCTTTAAAATATACTTTTAAAGCTCAATTTTTAGATACACTGTATACAGCTCAAGTATTAAGAGTCAACATGAGCCCATCTTAAACAATATTGTTACCATTTCAATGCTAGAAAAAATTGCGAATGACTTAATAACTAATATGAATCAGGCTTTCAATGCCAGCTCGACTAATATAGGTGTTTCCTGGTGGAATGATAGATTAGATAAGCTACGAAAAAAGCTCGAAAACTACTCAACCGTGCAAAATTTACATCAAACTGGTCTCAATACACAGAGGCTTTGAGTGAATAAAGGGCGAACACGAAATTATTGCGACACATTTAACAGGGCATAACTTTTTTACCATTGGGTAAAAATCAACCAAATTTTGCACACTTTCTCATTGATGTGTATTGTGTACATGATGTCAAACTCGAAGTCGTGTTTTTCGATTCAACGAAAATGGAGGTGAACCAACGCGAGTTGAGAGAACAAATTCTTTCCAAACACCTGGAATTTCCTGACCTGTCGCACCGGCATTTGGGAAAAATGTTGAACATTCACCATTCAACCGTCTCCAGAGTGTTGAAGCGGTTGACGTTGGACCACGGCAAAGGAGCTGGAAGAAAACCGGGACCGGAGAACAAAAAGACGGAGGGAAAGGTGAAGCGGATGATTAAAGCAAATCCCAACGTCTCAAGCCGTGATTTGGCTAAAAAGATCGGCATGTCGCAGAGCTACGTCCAGAATGCAAAGAAGAGAGCTGGACTACATACATACAAGGTACAGAACTTCCCAAACCGCGATGAGCGGCAACAATCGACGGCTAAAACTCGGGCACGGAACCTCTACGAGAAAATGCTGACAAAATATGGCTGCTGTGTGATGGACGACGAAACGTATATAAAAGCCGATTTTAAGCAAATTCCGGGGTTGGAGTTTTTCATCGGCAAGAGCAAGTTCGATGTGGACGACAAATTTAAGAAGAAGAAAATGTCGAAGTTCGCTTCCAAATATCTCATTTGGCAGGCCATCTGCTCTTGCGGACTGAGGAGTGAGCCTTTCGTGACAAAGGGCAGAGTAAATGGCGAGATCTACAAATCTGCGTGCCTCGAGAAGCGCCTTTTGCCGTTCTTGCAGCAGCACGACGAAGCTCCGCTATTTTGGCCAGATTTGGCATCATGCCACTATTCTTAAAGTGTCCTGGAGTGGTATGAGGCCAATTCTGTCCATTTTGTTCCAAAGGATATGAATCCGCCAAACTGTCCGGAGCTGCGCCCGGTGGAGCAGTACTGGGCAATAATGAAGCGGGAACTTCGGAAGAGCAAGAAGACAGTCAAAGACGAGAAGGACATGTTAAGAAAATGAAAAAAAATTGAGAAACTGGTACCGGATGACACTGTAAAGACTTTGATGGAGGGCATCAAGCGAAAATGCGTTCAATTTTACACTCAAGGCTCTATCGATTAACTTTTCTTTTGATTTTTGAAGTAAATATATGTATAAAACTACCCTAAAATTTTGGTTTGATTCTAAACATTATAAGAAAATTGGCATGACATTTTCGGTGTCGCAATAATTTCGTGTTCGCCCTTTAGTTTCGCTAGAGTATGGCAGTATACTTGAATAGAAGTTGAAATGAGCGAACGGCTTTTCCTTTTTTTCTTTGGTTTGTTTTCCGTCGATCTTGTTTTCCGTACTGAGTACCAATGGTATCGACGCCAGGGAGGCAGTTTCCACACCTGGACCCTACTTATCGACCCATCAACTCATGAACCGGGGACCAACGGCTGATCAGAGATGTTATGTCTCAGAACATTCTGGCGGTGTCGACTGCGATTGAACCCAGACCTTTCGCGGTGAGAGGCAATCACGCTTACCACTACACCACCGACGCCGCTGAAATGTCATCTTGGCCAACCAAAACGTATACGATAATTTCACAATTTCACAGCATTTTCTCACCAAAACACTTAGCAGAATGTATTCCAACGGAGACTAGTTGTTCAGCTTCAATGTGATTAGATTTTTACGACTGAGCAAATGCATCTTGCCAGGTTTTTCTTGAAATGGAACGTACACACTGCAAAATGATGCTGATTTTGAGTTGCCGATAATAGAACAGTAGGTTAACACGCAGTGTAAATGGAACAGTTGCCGAAGAAAACGAGGATGCCGACAATAGTCACACTCACCTGAAAAGTTTGAAGCGTTGTAAAATCGTCGGTTTGAATAATTCTATCGATTGGTATGGATAGGGCAGCATGCAGAAGATGAATGTAAACAAACAAACACCGCTAATGTGTGCGTTACGTCGAGAAAAAAACCAATAAGAGTTTGGACGCTGCTTAGATTAACGATACTATGTAAATTCCCCTACAACATAATTTATAGCTTCGTTGGAATTTCACAGAATTAAGTGAACACTAAATACGATTGAGATTTCACTACACATCAATAATTTATCATAGCACCGTTTTAACCCACTCACTATAAATATGAAAATAAATATGATTCCTTCTCTTAAGTAAATAATTCAAACACTTTTGCTTCACTTCTTCTTCTTCTTCTTCATCCCATCAATAGTAAGCAGATCGGAAAATAGTGCCGGTTGAGTCGATACTGCGTCCGACGAGTATTGGCGTTTTTGGTTCTTGTGCTTCTTGCTGCCATGGTTCGAGGTCTTCTTGTAGCTGTACGCATCGACTTCCTCACTGAGATGGGCGTCATTTTTCTGCAGAAACGGATACTGCGGTGCAAGATTCTCCTTGGTCGCACCGGACGATAGGACGATAACCTTTTTGGAATCGAAAATCTTTACCGAGATGGTTGGAAATTACTTCCCGTAGATACACTTACCGTTGGGGAGCTGGTGGCGGAATAGTCCCGGATGTAATTCTGAAGCACGCTCAGGAAGAACAGGAATCCGATGAATGTAAGGATTGCTACGGAAGCACCCTTGAAGCGAGCCGTTCCATACTTGCCGTACGGGACGCGATAAGGAGCTGGAGGAGGAGGTGGAGGCGGAGGTAGTGGTGGTGCAGGTCCAGGGAAAAACCCTGGAAAGGTTTCTCCCGCCCAGAAAGCTTCACCTTCCTCGTAGATTTCTGGTCCTGAACCGGGACCAAAAACAGGATACTTGACGAAAGGCTCATGATGAATCCGTGAGCTGAGTGTTACCGCTGTAGCCGGTGGTCTGACCGTACTGGAACTCCCCATGTTGGCGAACCGCTGAAGTAGATGTTCTGCCATGATATACGCTAGATCCGGAACCGTTGTTCCGATGATGTTACAAGTGCTGCACTGTGACCGAAACTAACCGTAAGAGTCACCCAACAGATACATTTTACTTCCCCACAGCGGCACTGCAAAGGTTATGTCAAGGTTCAACAACGACGGCGTTGTCGTTCCGAAAGGGAAGGGGTGAGTCAGTTCCCGTGAAGTGATTTTCGAAAACGGTCCCCCGCAACATTTTTGTCACATTAGAGAGAGCAAGAAAGGGAAAAAACAGCTTATCGTTAGCAGCATTATTTGAGCGATGCACATCGTGGAGCACCCCGGGGGACGCAGTAGGCGTGAAATTGACGAAATTATCCCAAACCATTAACAATGTTTCTCCGGGTTGCTTGGATCTACTTCAAACGTCCGTTAGTGCACTTTTCGTTACTGTATATGTGCTGCGAACTTTCTGCGGAGCATTGTTTTTATTTTCTTTATTGATGTTATGAAATGTACCGAAAATTACGACGTTTGTGACGTTCTCTAGGAACATTGCTGATGGATCTCTTCAATATGTTTCACCATTTGTTTTAATGACAGAAATGAGCGTTTCAGGAGGTAATCGTTTCCATAAAAAAAAAGCAATCACTTACCACCAGCGATATAATGAGAATACTCCGTTTCACCGATCACAAACACATGTATTGTTAAATATTTATTTTTAATTAAATTAGCACCGCCTTTCGAACCCTGTTTTCGGGTTCGCATATTGCACCCCAGGGGAATTCAAATTAACTTTTTTCTCCGCATTCATTCGCCGATAATCGACAGTTCAACTTTTTCACGCACCTCACCATAGTCGTAGCCAGTGGCAAAGTTTTATCCCATTCGAGTGCGATCCGACAAATTCACCAGCATATAGCACAATCTTTATGGGCTGAAAATCCTGAAATCCTTTTAACACCTCTGACACGCACAATTTTCGTCTAGGCTCCTACGGTAGCCGACGAAGCTGAAAAACACAATTAATTATGGCCTATGGCACGCGTGGCGAGTGTCCTTTTAGCGAATTTCACCAAATAAAATTAAAAAAAAAGAAGTGTCAAGCAGCGATTTCTCCCACACGTTTTTGAATGCATTTCTAGACAATCATGGGAAAAGGGCCAATGAACCACATGTAAACAATGAATTCAAGCTTAACCAATGATTTTAGCTGAAGTTATTGGACTGGTTGTCTTATGTTTTACAAGTTTTAAATAAAATCGGGTATTCATTTGCTTCCTGCGTTTTGTAAAGGGTGATACGGTCAAAATTTGGTCAATATCAACTTGACGTATTTCTTTCAATTTTGCATTTAAAAAACCTGAACACCCCTCATTTTGAAGGTGTGTGTGTGTAGAATGTTTCTCCTATTTTGATTTTGGAATTCACTCTTCAGTTGTCAAAATGCCGTCCAAGCAAGAAGAGCAGCGTATCAAAATTTTGCTCGCGCATCGCGAAAATCCGAGCTACTCGCACGCAAAGTTGGCAAAATCGCTAAAAGTTGCCAAATCAACCGTTACAAATGTAATTAAAGTGTTTGGGGAACGTTTGTCGACAGCCAGAAAGTCTGGATCGGGGGGAAATCGAAAACCGGAAGCCGCTGAGACGACAAAGAGAGTTGCCGGTAGTTTCAAGCGAAACCCTAACCTCTCTCTCCGAGATGCCGCAAATAAGCTGGGTGTATCGTCTACAACCGTGCATCGAGCCAAAAAACGAGCCGGACTATCGACTTACAAGAAGGTAGTGACTCCAAATCGCGATGATAAACAAAATACGACGGCCAAAGCGCGATCCCGGAGGCTGTACACGACGATGCTGACGAAGTTTGACTGCGTGGTAATGGACGACGAAACCTACGTCAAAGCCGACTACAAGCAGCTTCCGGGACAGGAGTTTTATACGGCAAAAGGAAGGGGAAAAGTAGCAGATGTTTTCAAGCACATGAAACTGTCAAAGTTCGAAAAAAATATCTGGTTTGGCAAGCCATCTGTACCTGTGGCTTGAAAAGCAGCATTTTCATAGCTTCGGGGACTGTCAACCAAGAAATTTACGTGAAAGAGTGTTTGAATAAACGTCTGCTGCCTTTCCTGAAGAAACACGGTTGTTCCGTACTGTTTTGGCCGGATTTGGCATCTTGCCATTACGGTAAAAAGGCCATGGAGTGGTACGCCGCCAACAACGTGCAGGTGGTTCCCAAGGACAAGAACCCTCCCAACACGCCAGAGCTCCGCCCAATTGAGAAATACTGGGCTATTGTCAAGCGGAACCTAAAGAAGACCAAAAAAACTGCTAAGGGCGAGCAGCAGTTCAAGGCAAACTGGCTTTCTGCGGCGAAGAAGGTGGACAAGGTGGCTGTACAAAATCTGATGGCAAGGGTCAAGCGTAAGGCCCGGCAATTCGGATTTGGAAAAGCGGAAGCCTAACTGAATATTTTTCCTGAATTTTATCCTAATTGAACTTGAAAAAGAAATTTAATTTGATTTTTTAAATAAACGATTTCACCGATTTACACGCGTTTTCCCTTGACCAAATTTTGACCGTATCACCCTTTAGTTACTGTAGGTCAAACATTATATCTACAAAAAATCTAATAAAGACTGACCACTCGCATGCCTCTAGTGTTGGGAATCGAAAATCTTTGACAGTTGTTTGTTTACACGTCTATAGAGAACAACTGGTGCAAGTTTGATTAAAGTAGTCGATTGCGTTCAGAAATAACGTCAAATGCAACTCGAAAGAAGAAAAAATATTGTGCACAAACACCTGGAAAATCCGGAGTGGTCCGTTTCCAATCTGGCTAAAATGCTGAAGATGCCGAAAACAACAGTTTGGAGAGTGCTCAAAACTTACAAGGAAACCCTGAATGTGGAAAGGAATCAGTGGACCTACGAAAAAACTGGAACCCTGGATCGTTAGCTGCGCAGCTAGGTGTTGAGGTGTGTTAAAACAAACCCCGGTCTTTCGATCCGAGATGTGGTCAGAAGGAACAACGCCAATTTTCAAATGGTGTGGAACATCCTTGCCAAGGAAGGATACAAGTCGTACAAAGCCAGTAAACATCCACGATCGACATTGCCACTGCCAGTCGATCTATCTCGAACAGGACACAGAGGAATATCAGTAACGACCTGCATGGTAGTGACCATTACCCGATCCGCATACAGCTTTCCGTAGGCGCGGCCCCTCCAACGACTCGGAGACCCAGATGGCGCTACAAGGAAGCCAACTGGGACGCCTTCAGGGAGAAATCCGACGCTCTCCTTCTGCAACGTGATCCAAACGACATCTCGAGCTTCACGGAAGTACTCTACGCAGCTGCAACAGTATCTATCCCAAGGAAGGGTAGCGTACCTGGGTAAAAAGCCCTACGTTGGTGGAACGAGGATACCAAATGTGCGGTGAAAGCGCGACGCAAAGCTTTACGCCGTCTTAAGCGTCTCGCCTTAGACGACCCTGGTAGGGAGGAAGCGCTGTAGTTTTACCGAGAACGCCATCTCTCGTGCAGACAGGTGATCCGTGACGGAAAGCGATCTAGCTGGATGGATTTCCTGGATTCAATCGACGAATCCCAATCGTCGAGTGAATTGTGGAATCGCGTCAACGCTCTGAGTGGCAAGCGGCGGTCTACTCCACCTACTAGGACGAAGGACTTCGCCGACGAATTAGGAAAATATTTTGCCAGCCTGTCTGCTGTCAGTGGATACGACAGCGATTTCATCCAGCGCGTCAAACCTTCCACAAGCAGCATTCGCGACTTGCGAATTCCACCCGATGTTCCTGCTCTCCTTCCGGGAGCTTCAATTTGCCCTCGGCAGCAGTAGTGGTAAATCTGCCGGGCCGGACGAGATTGGATACCCGGTGTTAAAAAAAAACCTCTCCCTCGACGGAAAAACGAGACTGACTCGTATCTGGACCTCTAGAAACAAAGCTTGGTTGTGCCCATTCCGAAGAACAACACGGCGAGTGAAGAAGCCTCCTCCTGTAGGCTGATTGCGCTCACTTGCTGCGCGGCAAAAGTGATGGAGAGAATGGTAAATCGTCGTCTTAAGCAGTTCCTGGAGTCAAACGGCCTCCTTGATGAACGGCAGGGACACGGCTCCTCCACTTACTTTGCAGCCCTCGGGAAAGTACTTAAGGAAGCCCAGGACAACGGTCACCTTGCGGAGTTAGTCTCCCTTGATATTTAAAAGGCGTTAACAGGACATGGACACCTGGTGTCATCAGGCAGCTCATCGGCTCGGGCCTGGAAGGTCACATCACACATTTTGTATGGAATTTCCTCCTTGATCATACCTTCCAGGTGACTCGCTCGGATCCGATCCCCGAGAAAACTGGAGTGCCCCAGGGATCCGTCATAGCGGTAACGCTATTCCTGGTGGCAATGAACGGGGTATTCAGCCGATTGCCCAAGAACGTGCACGTAATCGTTTATGCCGACGACATACACGAAACGAAAATCAATTATCTTATTCATGTCTTTCACTAATACATTTTTGCCAAAACATCAGCCTTATACATTCCATAAGACAAACTTCATGGGACCTATAAGAATGCTTAAAAGGTATGTGTGACCACTTATACATTTCATTTGACACATGATCTTCATTAACTTTTTGCAAGGCGACTGCTTATTAGTTGACTTATACATTTTATGAATAATTAGCAAAAGAAATATGCCAAAAGGTATAAGGAGATTTGTATCCGTGTACTTATAGTCGTAACGGGACGAACGACTAAGCGGACCAGGAACATATCTCAAGCAGCAGTCTCCGCCGTCAGCAAGTGGGCGCTTTCGATTAGTTTGCAGTTCTCCGTGCCGAAGACTGTACGGTGCCATATCTGTCACTCGGACCATCTGATTCGAGGACCACCGATCACCATCCAAGATCATCCGATTCCGCTCAAGAAAACCATGCGTGTTCTGGGGGTAGTACGGGATCGCACCCTAAGCTTCAACCAGCTCTTCAGGATGATGAAAGAAAACTGTCGTAGCGGCATCAACATATTCAAGAAAATCTCCCGCCCGCATCGCTCCAGCAACCGTGAGATCCGCCTTCGTGTCGCTCGGGCTGTTATCGACAGTCGACTT